ACTATCACGAGCCTCGTATGCAGTACGAGTTCTTCTTAGTACTTGACTCGCAACAAAAGAAGCAAACGTAGTGATGGTTATGACGTATCCTTGCTAAAATGATCAACTACATTCTCAGTTACGCCTCAACGTACACAAATTGCGTGACAGAAGCCATCATGGCAGACACCGTATTGGCACTTAGGTCTCCTAAGCACTTGTCTTCTTCTTGTAGTAGTCTTCGTATCTCTTCCAAACGGCGTAGTTCGGGTTATTGACGACGATGGAGCGGTCCATGCCTTCGAAGTATTTCTTGTAGACGCTCTGAGGTGTCCCCCCCATCATGTACCAGTACAAAAACTGGGTATTCTCCAGAAACGACCGGTCTTCTTCTTGGGCGGACAAATTGCCATGGCGAGCACCATCATCTCTTAAAAGCCTTTTGCCAGCGACAACATTCTGATCAGTTATGCTCGACGCTTGTGCTAGAACCACGAGCTTGGTTTCTTCGGAATTTACAGAGGGGACAACAATTTCACCACTTGTGAGGAAGACGACTGCAGTGACGGAAATGATGTAGCTAAAACGCATGACAAGTACCAAACTGTCGTCGGGGCTGGAAAGTGATTTGCGAACTGAGCGACGAATTTGATTGAAAAATAAGTTGACAAGCAAAGAGGGCAGTATATGCAAGTCTTGTAAGATGGTAATGCCCCACGATAACAATTATTATACATGTAAAAGGCATGGAAGTACAGGAAAATCAAGTGGGACTGTGGCGATTTAGGTTTATGGTTGTAAATCGGTTCGTAATCGATATTCATGCAGTTAATACTGTAAAACCTCTAATTGTGCCCCTGTAGTATGTACCCCACCCTCAAACACTCCAGGGGCACAAATCAATGTCGAGTCGTATTGAGGTTGAAGTTCTGCCAGGCCCTCCTACATTTAAGTTCATCTATGATTAGCTCAACTTCGTCGGGAAGGCTATTGGCTTCTTCGTCTTGGTCAGAATGCAACCTCGTTACCGGTACCGCCTTGGTTCGCAGTGGATAAGTCCAAGGGGGGGGGGTTAAGGGAGTCCAACTTGCTCAAAATATAGGGGGGGGCTGGCTATCTTAGGGAAAGGCACAATTATAGGTTCAGTAGTTTGTAATTAACCCTTTTAAAGCGGGCTTTTATTCTGTATTATACAGAATAAAGGCTTATCTTGATTAAACTATTGACAGAAGAATGCAACAATTTATCTGGTGTTAGCTGTCTCGCGAATCATGTGAGGTGGACACTACGAAAAAGTGCAAATACATAATTTATACGGACAAAAACTTCACAATGGATCCACCATACGCTAATATATGAGGTTTTGATTGGCTGCTGCAGAATAAAAACAGATCGCAGTGTCTTCTGTAAGGTATTTCCCCTCCAAAACGATTAGTGAGATTTGCGGCTTCGCGCCATTTTGGATGGCCGCCCGAGCTTCATTGCTACGCGGCAGAAGTTCGCTCACCAAATTTTTGGCCAGTTCTAGACTAGCAAGAGTAGAAGAAGAACTAGGCTTGAGCTGACCGAAACGTAGAAGAAGAACTAGAGTAGAAGTTAGTCTAGACTAGCAAGAGTCGAAGAAGAACTAGGCTTGAACTGGCCGAAATGTTGGGTGAGCGAACAGTCTATTGATTTGACTACTAGCTAGCTAGCTAACTACTGTCTTCTTCCTCTTCGCCTGCGCGCTTACGCTTGCGAAAGCGTATGCGCTTCTCCAGGTGTGCAGGAATTGCAGCTCCGTTTCACCAGACCTAATGCCAAATCTGGCTGCACGTGAGCGTGTTGCCGCTATCCTCTCTCCGAACCCGATTACACAGAGGTACGTAGCCGTCGTGTGATTGAGTGCACTGGGGGCAGAAGTAGCTGCTTTTAAAGCTTTTCGTTTGGTCGCCATTGCCGAGCATACCTTGAAAAAGTGCTGACGACGTTTGTTCTTGCCATTTCCATCATACCTGTCGTTCGTATTCTGAAGGGCGTGTGGCTGCGTTCGAATTGGCTCCGTAATCAAGTCCTCTGCGTTGGTGTTTGCACGCAATGTGGCTTCTGTTGTTGCTAAAAGCTCCGTTTGCAGTCTTCGCATGTATTCTGCGTGCGTCGGAACGTGTTCTCCCTTTTTCTTCAAGATGCGTTTGTGCAGGATGAACCCATTGACAATCGCCATGTCAACAAACCCCAAGAATAACTGGCGGTAATATTTTTTGAAAGCCACACATCGCTGTATCGAATCTCGCTGCAGTCGCAGCTGGTCGTGCTGGTCGACACCCCCCCATACCAGTATGATAATCGGCAACCAGCTGGGGACATGGTACGTCTGCACGAACAATCTCACCCTTCACTCGGCGTCTCACACTAGTCATCGTCGCTGCACATCCAGTTGCAATCATAGACACAGGTTTCGAGCCTATCCAGGACACAGCAATGAGCTCAGGGAAGTCTTTAGTGCGATACGTCCCTCGGGGCATACGCTTGGGCCGTGTTTTCTGTGTGGATGCAAAGCTGACTGGCCATCCCAATCTGTCGTTGCGGTGCGTTCCCACGTAGTAGTAACCCCTCCGAAGTAAATCCAGTACCAGTACACACGAGCTGTAGAAGTTGCCAGCGACAACAAGTCGCTTTGCTGGTTGCCCTTCGAGGACTTTGTTCACGTTTCGTATAGCAGCCTTCTGTGCCGTTCCATTTGCTGCCGCTGGATTGTTAGCCGCGCCGAGATAAACTTCAATTCTGTAGCATACAGAAGAAGACACAGCATATTTAAGGTGAGTTCACCCGTGTTCTGTAGAAAGAGGAATTGGCAATCTGTATTATACTGAGGAACACCCCGATACTACTGATACTACTAGCAATTCTGTATCAGCGTGCCGAGAACAGTAGCCAACCTCCGCGCAACACGTCATGTAAACCTTAGTCCCGTACTTGTGAGGTTTGTCCTTGTTGTAGACGCGCACCGGATTGAACTTGCTCCTGTTTGAAATAATGCCTTCGTCAAAACTGATTCGCGACCCCAACCGGAAGCCACGCCGAAATGTTTTCTCGAGTACCTGCAGTACCGGTCTGACTTTCCATGCTTTGTCCTTCGACATCTGCAGCGTTGTTACTAGAAAAATGCAGGTAACGAGTGACCATCTTGAATCTGTCTCTCTTCATATACGAAAACGTTTCACGAGGGACTGCGCTATCTTCTCGAGTAGACCAGTCTTGTTTTTGGCACAAAGGGTTCGAGCAACGAGGAGACCAATCACGTGGATGATTTCGTGAACCTGGATAGGTTTTACTTGCCGTAGCTTCTCTACAATCTCTTGAACAGAGTCGATCTTCTTTTGGGGGATCCTTTGTTTGTGCTTGAAGCTGCTTCTCTCGTTGCTGACGTGCGACAAGTGGGATGCAAGCCTAGCGATACAAATTCGTCTCCTTCTGAATCACAAAACCAGAGCTTCTTGGGAAGAAAGTAGAAAACATTCCTTATGAGGACTCTGCAAATGCTGCTGCAGATCTAGTTGGCCCCCAGTTTCCGTCGTACAACTGCGACGGTTTCAAGAGTCAAATCACCTGTTTTTAATATAATACAGAGTTAGAAAAGAATCAAAAGAGTTATTCTGTAGACGACCGACTTACCAGAATGTAGCTCGTCATAAATATTTCACCCAGAAGTTCTCAAGCGCCGCATGTCTTCGTCGGCTTGCACAAATAGCTCACTGGCCTCCCGTACAGACGCTGTCAGACTCTACTTCGCTTTCGTAGTCCTCTCGTGGCGACACGGGCACATCCAGCTCATCATCCACCGGCGCACGACGGCGGGCCAACTCATACACCGCCTTTCTTTTCTCATGGAGATTCATTGCTGGGGAGTGATGGTCAAAGGAGAGAAGCATGAGCAACCCCCTGCCGGACGCCGACATAATCATGAGCCGCTTGTTCCGCCGTCATCCTCCCTTCTAGGTAC